GGGGGAAGATCCTGGGAACTGAAGGGGTAGATGGGAGGGTGAGTGTCCTTAGGACCATTGACCTCTAAAATGAGTTTCTGTCCTCCCCAGGTTAAAGAGGAGGAAGATGGCAGATAAGGTTCTACCTCAACGAGTAAGTGCTGGCAGGAGGTCTAGGCCTGTCCAGTGACTGGCTGGGGGTGGGAGTCCATCTCTCCCAACTCTGGGAGGGAAGATGAATTCCTTCTTCCTTCCTCCAGATTCGGGAGCTTGTCCCAGAGTCTCAGGCATACATGGATCTCTTGGCTTTTGAGCGGAAGCTGGACCAGACCATTGCTCGTAAGCGGATGGAGATCCAGGAGGCCATCAAAAAGCCTCTGACGGTATGTGGAGCCATGACCCCTCAGCTCAGTGGTTAGGGCACCAGCTACATACACTAGAGCTGGCTGGTTCAAACCCGGCCTGGGCCAGCTAAACAACAATGACAACTACAACAAAAAATAGCTGGGCATTGTGGTGGCCACCTATAGTCCCAGCTACTTGGGAAGCTGAGGCAAGAGAATCACTTAAGCCCAAGACTTTGAGGTTGCCGTGAGCTGTGAGGCTATGAGGCCATGGCACTCTACCGAGGGTGATATAGTAAGACTCTGCCTCAAAATAAAAAAAAAAAAAAACGCAGGATATTAGTAGAGCATGAACTCAATGTGTTGTTTGGTTTTTTTTTTTGCATTTTTTGGCCAGGGCTGGGTTTGAACCCACCACCTCTGGCATATGGGGCTGGCATCCTACTCCTTTGAGCCACAGGCACCACCCCAGGGCCAATATGTTTTAAATTAATAAAAATGGTAGAAAATATAAAAAGACTTCAAAGTATTATTTACCATACTAATGAAGGTATTATTTTATGAAATTTTTGTTTCAGATGTTTATATATATGCATGCAGGTCCAGGGTCATGATTTAAAATGTAAATTTTATGGATTGTGGTCCAAAGTTTGAAACCTCCTAAACTAACGGGCGGAACAGAAGTATTCCTTTCTCCTTGCCCATCCTTAGAGAAGTTTTTCTTTGCTAATAATCTAGAATAGTCACCTGAGTAGTGAAGTCTTTCCCCAGAGACTAGAATATTCTGGAGGCATGATTCATATTTGCATTGTATTTAAAATCTGAGCCAGAGGCTTCTTCTGATTTGCCTGGTGGCACTCTATAGACTCAGCCCTGTTAATGCATACCACTGGCTCACTGTGTTAGCATTGTTGGTGATGCATCTGTTTCCCCCATAAAATTATCAGTTCTTTTAGGGCTAGGATCTACTACTTCCAGTTCCCAGTACCTTACAAGGTCCCTGGCTGGCCCATGGTGCTTGATACTGACTGTTGAATGATTTCAGATGAGAAGACTGGGTAGCATTGTTTTCCAATATTTTGGTCCTCCTCTAGTTGTTATTTTCTCTTTAGCAAAAGCGAAAACTTCGGATCTATATTTCCAATACATTCAGTCCCAGCAAGGCAGAAGGTGATAGTACAGGAACTGCAGGGACCCCCGGGGGAACCCCAGCAGGAGACAAGGTGGCTTCCTGGGAACTCCGAGTAGAAGGAAAACTGCTGGATGACGTGAGTTGGGGAGGAGGCCTATGCGGGTTTGAGATGGACTAAACAATTGGGCATTCCCGGGAGGTGCTGCTCCCAGGTACTGCTCATGGTCCTGCTTGCCACAGCTCCCAGAGATGGACTTGTGTGGTTTTTACAGTGTTTCTGCAGATGGCAGTAGAGTGTCTTAAAATCCCTCACTGGCTGGTAGTGGGGCTCCATAGCCTTTTCCCTGCCTCCAGCCTCTCTGCCCAGAGTCTGATTGCTTCCTCTAGAACCCAGGAATCCTCCCTACCCAGAGCTCAAGTTAAAACAGTACTCTTTTGTGTGTTTAGCATAGCTTTAGGTTTGGAGCTCAGCAGCAAGCCCCATCTCACATCCCTTTCTATTCCTAGCCCAGCAAACAGAAGAGGAAGTTTTCTTCATTCTTTAAGAGCCTTGTCATTGAGCTGGACAAGGAACTGTATGGGCCTGACAATCACTTGGTGGAGGTGAGTGTAGACCTGGGCACTAAGCACAAGCTGATGTGATGGCTCAAAAAATAAATGGTCTTGGTCCTCTTGGAGGCCCATGTGTTCATGACCACCCCCTTGGTGATAAGCTCTGCTCCTCTCCTCCCTGACAGTGGCACCGGATGCCCACAACGCAGGAGACAGATGGCTTCCAGGTAAAACGGCCTGGAGACCTGAATGTCAAGTGCACTCTTCTGCTCATGCTGGATCATCAGGTAACAAGATGCCCTGTGGTCATGTCTGGGGCTACAGGGACACATCTTGGGGGATTCTAAAGACCTTCCCGTCCCTGCCCTATTCTCCTGCTTTGCTATTTTTTTTTTCTTTTTAAGACAGTCTCAAGCTGTCACCCTGGGTGGAGTGCCATGGTGTCTTAGCTCACAGCAACCTTAAACTCTTGGGTTTTAAGTGATTCTTTTGCCTCAGCCTCCCAAGTAGCTGGGACAACAAGAGCCTGCCACTACTTCTATTTTTTTTTGGTTGCAGTTGTCATTGTTTTAGCTGGCTCGGGCCAGGTTCAAACCTGCCAGCCTGCCTCAGTGTATGTGGCTGGCACCCTACCCACTGAGCTACAGGTGCTGCCTGCTTTGCTTAAGAACCCTTCCTCTGACTTCCTTATGTCCATCTCCAGCCACCTCAGTACAAACTGGACCCCCGATTGGCGAGGCTGCTGGGAGTGCACACACAGACACGGGCTGCCATCATGCAGGCTCTGTGGCTTTACATCAAACACAACCAGCTGCAAGATGGGCATGAACGAGAATATATCAATTGCAATCGTTACTTCCGCCAGGTTAGCCAGATGCCATATTCTGTTCTCCCTGCCTGTCTTGTCTGCTATTCTCAAGCCCTGCCAGGCTAGTTCTTGGCCAGTCTTGAGACTGCTGCCCTTCCTGGCCACGCAAGTTCCACTTTCCTGGTGGCCTTCAAGGGTGTCACCAAACCTTTGGTACTCTCTCCAGATCTTCAGTTGTGGCCGACTCCGTTTCTCTGAGATTCCCATGAAGCTGGCTGGGTTGCTACAGCATCCAGACCCCATTGTCATCAACCATGTCATTAGGTAAATGGAAGGTAGGGAATGGGAGGGTTCATCTTAAGAGCAAATTCATCCTTGGCTTGAATGAAAGCCAAAGAAAGCAGCAGCATATTGGTTTCTTGCTGTGCCCAGAATGGGTCTGAGCAGGTAGATTAAGATACATGTGCTTCCCTTTCCCTTGCTATGGGCTGCCTGCAGTGTAGACCCTAATGACCAGAAGAAGACGGCCTGTTATGACATTGATGTGGAGGTTGATGATCCACTAAAAGCCCAGATGAGCAATTTTCTAGCCTCTACCACCAATCAGCAAGAGATCGCCTCCCTTGATGTCAAGGTGGGCCCACCCTATGCTTCTCCAACCTCCTCCAGGGCCTAGAATAGGGGTGGGCCAGCTGTCAGGCATTTCCAAACATATGTCCCTGTGGGGGTGGCACCTCTGGTTCAGTTATTTGGGTTTGGCCTGGGAACAGACTGGGGGCACAGTCTAATACATGCACTCCTTCCCAGATCCATGAGACCATTGAGTCTATCAACCAGCTCAAGACCCAGAGGGATTTCATGCTCAGTTTTAGCACTGATCCCCAGGACTTCATCCAGGAATGGCTGCGTTCCCAGCGGCGAGACCTCAAGGTATAGTCCTCTTTCTTAAAGGGGGACCCCCAAAGACTACTCTTCCAGTTCCAGGGGCAGATTAGCTCAGGGGTGGGAAATATACTACAGCCTTCCTCCTGGCTCTTTGCAGATCATCACTGATGTGATTGGAAATCCTGAGGAGGAGAGACGAGCTGCTTTCTACCACCAGCCCTGGGCCCAGGAGGCAGTTGGGAGACACATCTTCGCCAAGGTAAGGCTGTGTTCCAGTTGCCCTCCTTTGGTTGTGAGTGACAGAGGCCTGACACAGGTCTCTTCTTTTTCCAGGTGCAGCAGCGAAGGCAAGAACTGGAACAGGTGCTGGGAATTCGCCTGACCTAACCCTCAGGGATCTCTTCCTTTCTTTCCAGCCCTGGAGCCTGGAAGGAAACCACCATCTGGGTCCTGGCTGAGACTGCAGACATGTAGGATGGGGTGAGGGGTGTCTACTGTCACCCTGTACTCCCCAGCTTTAGTTACATAAATGTAGTTATAGGATTCCTTGTTGCTTGGTCCCCAAAGCCTTATTACTTAACTTTTCGCATTGGCTTCAATGGGGTTCTTATCAGATGATGCCTCCTCTGCCCCCTGCAGGCAGACCCAAGTAGGACTGCAGGAGGCTGTGCTTTGACATTGTAACCGAGACATTTCTGAACCAAAGGCCGCTGGGTTTGCATGTTTACAGACTCCCCTGGAGGAGGGTCAGAGCTGGCTCTGGGAGCTGGGTGAGGAAGAGGAGGCACAGCCCAGACTCTTCCAAGCCTTTCTAAACCAAAGTTCTTTGCCATTCCTACAAACCCAGCCTTGCTGCTGGTTTTTTCCTTTGGGTATTTGCACTATTTGGGGAGCAAGGTTTTCTATGTGGGAGCCACTTTTTTTATACAGGGGTAAGTTGGGGTTTTTCAGGGAGCCCTGTTTGGTGCCTCCTTACTTTCTTTCCTCAATCTATGCAAGCGGCTTTGGCCGCCATCATCTCCTGGGATGCCAGAGGGCTGCCTCCCCAGATAGGCCTGGGAAGGTGAAGCCTCCTAGAGGGAGGGGACACTGCAGTTCTCTAGCATGGCCTAAGGTACGGGTGTGTGCATGGTGGAGGGCAAGGGAAAGGGGGGCTGGGAAGATTATTGTTGCCCTTTGGAGCTTGGCAAGTGCCATTTCTGGCAGGTTTGGAAATTCCCAAATAAATCTTTTGTTTATTGGTGGTGTCTAAACCTGATCATTGAATATTATGGTCACTCACGAACAGAATGGAATCATGGAGGGCTTGTCCCACAGCTTTATTTGCGGGATCCACACAAAAGATGACTGCTTACTTCCATAGTTTCTTGATGGACATGTTTTTCTCGCTGTCTTTCTGCATGACCTGGAAAGACAGCAAGTGAACATTAGGTTATGAACGAGGTGAACACAGGCCCTAAGTCCAGTGCTCCAGAGCCACCAGCAGCAGAAGTAGAAAGATGGTAGCAAGTACCTTGGCTACCGCCATCTCAAAGTCCTCCTGGGTGACATGGACTCGCCGTTCCCGCAGGGCATACATGCCTGCTTCTGTGCACACACCCTAAGCAGGAAAAGGAAGTTAAGGCCTTGTTGCTGCACCCTCCTTGTCCCTGAATGTGGCCCTTAAACCCAGAACTTGCTGCCTCCTCCAGTTACCTTCACTTCGGCCCCTGATGCTCCTGGCATGAGCTCAGCAATTTTTCTCAGATTGATCCCCCGGGTCAGGTTCATTTTCCGAGAATGGATCTTCAGAATGTCCAGTCGGGCCTGGAGATGGGAGGAAGAGCCTGAGCCATACACCCTATCCCCATAGTCAGAACCATTCTGAACACTACCCATCACAAACCTCCTCATTGGGGGGTGGGAATTCAATTTTTCTGTCAATGCGCCCAGGGCGAAGCAGGGCTGAATCCAGGATATCAATTCTGTTCGTAGCCATGATAACCTGAGTGGAGAAAGGGGTACAATCAGCTAAGCTTTTCCTTAGCCTGCATTGTCATCCAGGGCCTTCCCTTGGCTCTTCCTGGTATTACCTTGATATTCTTGGTGGCCTCAAAGCCATCTAGCTGGTTAAGCAGCTCCAACATTGTACGTTGCACTTCACTATCCCCTCCAGATCCCCCCTCCAGCCGTGAGGAACCAATGGAGTCAATTTCGTCCATGAAAATGATAGATGGAGCATGTTCTCGTGCCATGACAAACAGCTCTCTCACCATTCTTGCCCCTGTGTGGAGGCCAAGCTGGTGTTAGGGAGCTGATGAGCTCGCTACATCCTCTCCCACTTGGTTCTTATGTTCTTAGCTATAGTTACCTTCCCCAATGAATTTCTGTACCAACTCAGAGCCAGACACACGAATGAAGGTACAGTCTGTATGATGAGCCACAGCCCGGGCCAGAAGTGTCTTCCCAGTGCCAGGGGGTCCATACAGCAGCACTCCCTAGAGGGGAAGAACAGACTTAGGGCAGTCTCTGGCCCTCTAATTTCACTCAGTGAACATTTACTGAGTGCTGGATAGCTTGCTAGATGCCCAGAAATATAAAAAAATGAACAGCCTGGAAGTATCTCTCCCCTACCCATTCTTCAGCAGGAAGGACTTGCCTAACCAGGTCCATCCCAACACCTCTCTACTGCTATACTCATCTTGGCCCAGGGCAGGAGGAGTAAGTACAGAGCATCTTCCCAGAAAAACCCAGCTTCTCACTTTGGGCTGTGCGATGCCCAGTGCTTCAAAGAGCTCAGGATGCTTAACAGGCAGCTCAATCACTTCTTTGATCTCCTTGATCTGCTTGTCCAGTCCACCAATCATCTCGTAAGTGGAGTCTGGCACCTTCTCTACCATCATCAGTGATACCAGTGGGTCTACTTTGTTGGGTAGGATCTTGTGCAAAGTGTAGCTGTCATTTCTTAGAGCCACCCGGCAATTCGGTGTCACCTGGGTGAAGGAGGCAAGTTTCAAGAGTGGTACAGTAAAAGCTGACCCCTCCCCCCCACCTCACTTGCTATACTCACGTCATTGATGTCAATGTTCTTGTCTACATCTACCACAAACTTGCCCTCAGGATGTACCTACAGAAACAAGGACTTATGACCTTCCCTTGGAGCCACCAATCAACAACCCTACCCAGGAAGACCCATGAGAATCCCATAATAATGACAGAACACTGTCCTCTGAGGCTACACACAAAGGGCTGGGAACATAGTGGGGAACAGGCCAGTCCCTGGGGACATGCTGCTTTTACCTTGACCAACACTTTCTTTTTATCCATGGCTCGGACTACTTCCCCTACGTAAGAGCCCTGTTCCTGCAGTAGCTGTAGCTCCTCCCGCAACAGGCGAACTAGGTGGCAAATAGATATAGTGGTCACTTAGCTTCTCCTCTGGGGTCACCCCTTCCCAGGGCATAATTCAACATGCATAAACTAAGCACCATTTTGAAGGGACACACACACACACCCACAAAGGTAAAAGTTCTTATTTTTAAGGGGCTTATACTGGAGCAAGGGAGAGAGATATGCATGTGAAATGATGTGATGATGGTGGAGCATCCAACCGCCACAGCATCCTTCCCCCTCACCTTTTGCATTTAATTCATTTCTTTGAGCCTGCAGCCTCCGAAGGTTTTGGCTCTTATCATTCACAATCAGCTGTGCAGGAGGAGAGACAAATTCCATTACCCAAGGGCAGAATACAGTAGGAGGCAGGATCTTTGCAAAGACCCTCACAGGTGGGTATGAGCTGAGGAATGGGCAGAGAGCACCTGTATATTGTTTCAGATTCTCTATCATTATCCTGTTCTGTCCTCAAAGAGCCCCTTTAGAGCTTTAGGGCAGCAGCAAAAAAAAGGCTGTTTGACTAATACTTGTCCAGGAGTAATAATCTAACAAAGTTATAGCTTGCTCATGTAACAGTGAGTTTCCTGTGGGAAGGTAATACAGTGGAAAGATCTTTACATTAGGAGCTTGAATTCTAGCCCAAATGCTGTCAACTAAAATTGAAGTAAAGCTAAGGCAAACGACTTATAAAAATCTAGGTCTGTTACAAAACTACACATGGGTGTAGAATCAGCTACTCTGATTCTTTTTAGGACTACTGAGATGAACAAAAGAAATCACATGTAAAAGCATTCAAAAATGATAAACCAAATATAATATCTGCAATCAGCTGTGGAGTTCAGAATTTTTCCTTATGGCATTCCCCATGCAATTTATACCACAATTGGCCCCAGAACAATGTGTTTCGGGGGTTAGGGATGAAGCTGAAAATCCACATAGAAATTCCGATTCCTTCAAAACTTAAAAGCCTACTATTCACCAGTTAACACATAGACTAGTAGCCACATTTATTTTATGCACTCATGACATACCAAACTTTTCCTTAACTTTTGATATTCCTAGGCTATGTAGTTTTTTTTCCCAAACTTGAAAATTTCTAAGAAAATTTCCAACATATTTACTGAAAAAAATCTGCATATAAATGGACTCTCACTGTTCAAACCCATGTTATTCAAAGGTCAACTGTAATTAACTTTCTTATTACTCTGGTCCCTTCTTTCTTTCTTTCTTTTGAGACAGAGCCTCAAGCTGTCACCTCGCAACAACCTCCAACTCATGGGCTCAAGAGATTCTCCTGCCTCTGCCTCCGAAGTAGCTGGGACTATAGGCGCCCGCCACAATGCTGGGCTATTTTTTGGTTGCAGCTGTCATTGTTGTTTGGTGGCTGGGCTGGATTTGAACCCACCAGCTCAGGTGTATCTGGCTAGTGCTTTAGCCTCTTGAACCATAGGCGCAGAGACTGGTCCTTTATTTCTATGGTCTAGCTCTTTAGGCTAGAGCACTGGGTGGGGGGCCCAATTCCTTTAACTCACTATCATCCATTCTAATTTCACTGTGCTCCAAGTCCTTTCTGATAAACCTCATCTCCTGAGCTTGTCTTCCCTTTTATCAATAACCTTTTCTTTCAGGCTTCTTTCAATAGGGACAGCCTTTAGCTAGAGTAGCTTTTCCACTAAAATTTGACTCTTGAAGATGTAAAACCAACTGAACACCATCACCTTCGAAGAGTGGGATTTGAGGAGAACGAGAGAATAATTTCATACAGTTTATGTTGCTTGTTACTTCTCGTACATTCGCTTTTCTAGCTAAAAAGGAAACAGGAAAAGAAGACGTTTCTCCACTGCAATCCCAATAGAATAGGGATTTGTAGAAGTCTGTTTCCATGGACTCTCATCCCCCTCCCAGCTTCTCTGGAGTATGGCCTCACCTGAAGTTCTTCAATTTTGGACAGATAATATTGACGAAGTCCGCTGCCTGCCTTCCCCTCTTCCAGCTCCATCTGAAAACACAAGATAATTATTAAACAATAGGCTAAACATCCAAGGGGTAAAGCCATTTCCAGGGAACTTCACCGGAAGGCTTAATACCTGGCAGCTTTGTGTAGTAAAGACTCTGGGCTTTGGAAGCTTAAGATCTGGGTTCTCAAACCTCCTTATCTCCTTCGAACCCTCCATTTTCCCAAGACTAAAATAAGGAGAATGAGAACGCCGCCTACCTCACAGGACTTTCAGAAGAATCAAGAGACGCTACACGTCGGGCGCTTTGCACTGTGTCAAGCACTATACGAACCCGACGTGTTATTACCGCAGACCGTGCCAGCAGGAAGGACGGCGCCGGGTCGCCTCCGGCTCTCAGTCCTGGCAGTTCCCGCTCCCAGCGCTCCTCTCACTCCGCTTTCACCGAGTCGTCCTCTCCCATCCCTGCCCTTACTCACCAGGGCAGCGCTGACACAGCAGATCTGGCCCTACGCAGGCCCCAGTCTGGAATGGTCCACCTACCTCAACCCACCTGACCTTCCTGTGCCAGCTCACCGCCCACCTCTGATCACACCCGCTCTTCATCCATCCCCGGTCCCTGCCTGGCCGCAGCCGCCGCCATACCTGCTCCGGTCCGTCAAGCGCCATCTTCCCTCTGCAGCAGAGATTACCGGCATCCAAGATGCCTTGGCGCGCAGGCGCGGAAGCCGGGGCTTGCGGCTCGATGCCCGCGGCGGAGAAGAGTTCCGGGTCAATGGGCGGGGTCTGAGACGAGACGATAATAAATAATGGAGGCCATAATGGGAGGGGCAACTATTGAGTTCAGGAGCTTTGAGAGGGAATGAAGAGGAATAGTACGTCTAAGTACTGCTTCCTAGAAAGTAAGTTTTTAGTTCTTGTAATCTTCCCCCTGGTCCCAACGTTCAACTTGTAATACCTGGGGACAGGCCATAGAGAATATTTATGGCCACGCTCAAAATGGCGGAAAACGGGAACCGGGGCCCAAGCGGAAACGGAAGTACACTTGTGGCCTGCATGTGCAGCAGCAAGTGTGGAAACGGCACCGGTTTTGGGGTGAGCTTGTGAAGCAAGGCCCAGAGTGTGATTGCTGTGCGAAGTGGGAAAAAGAAAGCGGTATCTAGTGATCCAGGAAGAGATAGTTCCAACTTTTACTTTCTCTCCAGATTGAGCAACACTCGCCCATTCCACTATGGGCAAGAAAGGCAAAGTTGGCAAGAGCCGACGGGACAAATTTTATCATTTGGCGAAGGAAACGGGTAGGTCAAGTTTCGCTCCATCTGCGAGCGAGCGATTTTCCTTTGGTGCGCCTCCGCTCTTCAGATCCCCGGTTTCTCTTCCTCAGAAGGGGTGGTGGGTTGTGAGGACCAAGAACCCTGCTGATAAAGCACTCAGCGGATTCTGTCGTTACCCCCAGGTTACCGTTCCCGCTCTGCTTTCAAGCTGATACAGCTCAATCGCCGCTTTCAGTTCTTGCAGAAAGCCCGAGCCTTGCTGGACCTGTGTGCTGCACCAGGGGGATGGTAACTCTTGAAGCAGATTGCTCCTGATGGGTTCCGACCCTGCCCAGCTTACTTAGGGTTTTGTTGGAGGGTTGAGGGATTCGGGATCCCTCTCCCCAATACATAACTTCAGCCTCATATCTCTCTGCACCCCAGAGCATAGGTCTCTCTTTAAACTTCAGGGGCAGTTTCTTTTCTTGATTGCAAAGAAAAGGCTTGGAATATGAACATAGGACATGGCTCTGGCCACTCACTGCACTTGGCAGGGGCTCCTGACAACACCGGTGAGAGATCACACTGGTAAGGGATGGCAAGGGAGAGTCCCAGATATTTTAATCTTTATTTCTTTCCTAGGCTGCAGGTGGCTGCCAAATTTATGCCTGTGTCCAGTCTTATTGTGGGTGAGTAACAGGTGACTCTCGTGGGTGTTTGCTGGTGTAAATGTATGATACTAATTTTATCTTGTATTTTCCTCCTTGCTTGAGGCAATCCTTTAGAATACTCTGATCTGATTTCTTCCAGGAGTGGATCTGGTTCCTATCAAGCCTCTCCCCAACGTGGTGACTCTCCAGGAGGACATCACAACAGAACGCTGCAGGCAGGTAACAGGAGTTTCTTTTTTCTTGTTCCCTTTATATGCAAGCATCATGCTTTGAGGAAGTTCTTGCATGACTTTTACAATAAGATCCTTAATAGTTCTAGTTGAACTTCAGCTAGAGTCAGGAAAGAAGATACTTGGAATTGGAGGAAGGGCAGAGAGCTTCAGTAAGATCCCTTCAGGTGAACTAATAGACTGTAAGCGCTATGAAGACAGTGATATATTGTTTTTGTTTACTATTGTGTCTCCTGTACCTAGCATAGGATTTGGCCCAGGGCACTGAAGAAATGACTAGAAGCAGGGCAATTCTTAACCATTCTTTTTTTGTTACTGTAATCCATTTCCTTTTCTGTAGGCCCTGAGGAAGGAACTGAAGACCTGGAAGGTTGATGTCGTGCTCAATGATGGGGCTCCCAACGTTGGGGCTAGTTGGGTCCATGATGCTTACTCACAAGGTGCAGGGAGTGTGGGGCTTGGAGAGGAGGTAGGCATGTCCTGTCAGGTTGCAGAGGTCCTCAGCTAACTGTTTCTATCCCACAGCTCATTTGACACTGATGGCTCTGCGTTTGGCTTGTGATTTTTTGGCTCGTGGTGGCTGCTTCATCACTAAGGTTTTCCGTTCTCGTGATTATCAGCCTCTTCTGTGGATCTTTCAGCAACTGTTTCGCCGTGTCCAGGCCACTAAGCCCCAAGCTTCTCGCCATGAATCTGCAGAGATCTTTGTAGTCTGCCAAGGTGATGATGCCAAGGCATCATTTCCTTCTTTTAACTCAGCTTCCCAACTACCAAAGCACACTTTTTGATACATCCTATCATTTTAGGATTCCTGGCTCCTGACAAGGTTGATAGCAAATTCTTTGACCCCAAATTTGCCTTCAAGGAAGTTGAAGATCAGGCAAAGACTGTGACTGAGTTGGTGACTAAGAAGAAACCAAAGGTATGTTTGGGAAATGGGGCCATCCTCAGATCCTGCAACTTTGGAGAGGGTTGGCCTGCTGGGTCCTACATTCCCCAGAAGGGAATGCCCAGCCTTCTTTATTTCCCTCCCTAAGGCCGAAGGCTACGCTGAGGGTGACCTCACTTTGTATCACCGAACCTCCATCACTGACTTCCTTCGAGCTGCCAACCCTGTTGACTTCCTGTCCAAGTCCAGCGAAGTGAGTTCCTAGACTTAAGGGTGTAATGAAGCCCAGAAACATGGCCTGAGAATATTCCTTGACACTTTTAGATCTTGCTGGATGATGAAGAATTGGCCCAGCATCCAGCCACCACTGAAGACATACGGGCATGCTGCCAGGACATCAAAGTGCTAGGGCGCAAGGAGCTCAGGTATGTGGTTGGAGAGGGGACAGTATAGGGACCAGGACCTCTGAAGGTAAAGGCAATAGAACACCATGGTGTTGGAACTCTGGGACAGGATGCTGCTGTGCTAGAGCTTTGGAGTGGGGCCCTGAACTTTAGGATTTATGTGGCTGAAGCCTGAGATTTGGGGAGTGCCTAAAGCAGATAAGGGGGCAGGTCAAAGAGGAAAAAGGTAAGATCAGTAATATTTTTTGGGTAGGTCCCTACTGAACTGGAGAACAAAGCTTCGGCGACATGTGGCCAAGAAGCTGAAAGAGCAAGCAAAAGCACTGGACATCAGGTGAGATGGGAACTAAACCAGGGCAAGTGCTGACTTGGGTTATCAGGGGAAGTAACCAAACTCCTTGGACTGTTCTGTCAGCCTCAGCTCAGGAGAGGAAGAAGAAGGTGATGAGGAAGAGTCAACCACAAGGCAACCCTCTAAGGAGGAGGAGGAGGAGGAACAACTGAATCAGACCCTGGCAGAGATGAAAGCCCAGGAGGTGGCAGAATTAAAGAGGTGAAAAGATCCGAGGGGGCTTGGGATCGTCTGTGCAGAGTTCCTCAGTGTGTGGAGGGGGGAGAAGAGAATGAAAGGCATTGAATAGGAAGTTTGAGCTTGGCAGTTTTATTCCCTCAATCTGTCCCTTTAGGAAGAAAAAGAAGCTACTACGTGAGCAGAGAAAGCAGCGGGAGCGTGTGGAGCTGAAGATGGATCTGCCTGGCGTTTCCATTGCAGATGAAGGGGAGACTGGCATGTTTTCCCTGCGTACCATCCGGGGTCACCAGGTGAGGTGGGGTTGGGGTGCAGATTGAGGAGACAGAAGGATGTGTTTGGGTGTTTGGAGGTAGAGGTGTTGAATATCTTTTAAAGTGTACCAGATAATGATGTCTTCACCCATAAGATAACTTGGTGAGGGGGAGATGGGGGAAAAGTAAGAGTCTTATGACTCAAAGGCCAAAAAGAAACATACACCTAAAATTGTCACATTAGGAAGATGTATGAGCATGATAGGCTTATTTTTATAGAACTAGAACATCAGGACCAAGAGTTCAGGTTATGGTAGAGGCAGCCAGTGTACTTGGGTTATAAGCACGGTGAACAGAGGGTTTCCCTCAGAGGACAGTAACATTCCTCACATTAGTTCACTTCTGCTTAATACCAGAGAATGCATAAAAGCATCATAAGCAAAATGACCCCGTGTGGAGATGTCATAACCAGTTTATCTTTGTTGTACAAGAGAAGCATTAGAACATAGTGACCCTGGGTCAGGTGCAGTGGCTTATGCCTTCCATGAGCAGCAGACACTCTTATCTCAAAAAAGTTCTCATAAAAACCTGTTTGTGCTACCATCAAAAGCAACACAGCAGAGTGGGATAAATCAGTAACCTAGCCTAGAATTAGAATGAGATGTTTTAAACGGGCCCATCACTTCCCTAGGTCTAAGCTTTTCTGTCTGTATAAGGAGATGATATATTTGCTGCCAATGTATTTCCTAGCATTGTTGAGGATCAGTTACAGACTAGGGGGAAAAAGTAGCATGTTCATTTTCAATACTTGGATCTCTTCTTTTTCTGTTAAACCTCAGTTGTTAGAGGAAGTAACAAAAGGGGATATGAGTGCTGCAGACACATTTCTGTCCGATCTGCCAAGAGACGACATCTATGTGTCAGATGTTGAGGATGATGATGATACATCTCTGGATAGTGACCTGGAACCAGAAGAACTGGCAGGAGTCAGGGGACATCAAGGTCTCAAGGACCAGAGGCGGTAAGGGGGAGTGATGTCTGTGCATTAGAAGTAGAGGAGCAGAGTACAGGCACTCAGGGTCACTGAGCCCCTCCCCCTTCTTTCCTTTGGGTCTGTAGTGTGCAATATACTGAAGTGGATGATAAGGAGGAAGAGGAAGAAGAGAATCCATTACTGGTACCACTGGAGGAAAAGGCAGTGCTACAGGAAGAACAAGCTACCCTGTGGTTCTCAAAGGTAAGAGGCGGGGGACGGGGGGGGGGTGCACAAGACTGACAAAAAACTACCATACCCTGGAAGGAAGGTAGCTAAAGATTCCCCCACCCCCAGGAAGGCTTCAGTGGGATTGAGGATCATACTGATGAGGCCCTGGAGATCAGCCAAGCTCAGCTGTTGTACGAGAGCCGTCGGAAGGGGCAGCAGCAGCAGCAGCAGCCACTGCCATCACCACCACCTTCCAGTTTGAGGACTGAGAAAAAGTCTCCCCATTGTGACAATGAGGCCTCTAAGGGGACAGAGGCTTCTTCAGGGACAGAAGCTGCCACTGGCCCTGGAGGGGAAGAAAGAGATGGCACCTCAGATAGTGGTGATAGTAGCAGCAGTGAGGATGAAGAAAGGTGAGTTTTATAGCTGATGGGAGAAGAAATGGCAAGGAAGCACAGTGACTTCAACCATTTCTCTACCTTGGCTGCAGATAGGGAGCTTTAAAAACACTGTACTAATTAATGATTCTGGTAGAACAGGTCCTGGGGTATGGCTTGGGTGACAGGATTTTTCTAAGATTCCTCAGTGGTTGTAAATAGGAAGGAGTTGAGGCGAGGTGGGGGAAAGCTGTATATTCACTCTGGTTCTCCCCTTTTCACAGGTGGGAGGCACCCCGTGGTAAGAAGCGCAACCGTGGGCCTAAGACAGATGACGATGGGTTTGAGATAGTGCCTATCGAGGACCCAGGTGAGAGCTTTGCATGCCGTGGAATGAGACCAGCCAAAGTGTCAAGGTTGGGAATCAAGCTTTGATTTTTTTTCTCCTTCCCACTCTAGTCAAACATCAGATACTTGATGCTGAAGGCCTTGCTTTAGGTGCTGTTATTGCCTCTTCCAAAAAGGCCAAGAGAGACCTCATAGATAATTCCTTCAACAGGTAAGGCGGCCAGAAAACCATGACAAATAAGTCACCCAGGATGTGGTAAAGTGGATGTTTTCTTTTTTAGAAAGCCTGAAGTGGTTGGTTACTGGGCTGGTGTCCTTTCTGCCCAGGTATTCATTTAATGAGGAAGAGGGGGAGCTTCCAGAATGGTTTGTGCAGGAGGAAAAGCAGCACCGGATACGGCAGTTGCCTATTGACAAGAAAGAGGTGGAGCATTACCGGAAGCGTTGGAGAGAAATCAATGCTCGTCCCATCAAAAAAGTGGCTGAGGCCAAGGCCAGGAAGAAAAGGAGGGTAAGTGGTAGGAAAAGTAGCTGCCTGAGATTGGGGGTTGGGGGAGAGAGGAATGGGGAATGGGTCATCTAACTGAGGTCTTTTCCCAGATGCTGAAAAAGCTGGAACAGACCAGAAAGAAGGCAGAAGCTGTGGTGAACACAGTGGACATCTCAGAACGAGAGAAAGTGGCACAGCTGCGAAGGTAATGGGGAAAACATCGGGGGGGGGGGGGGCAAGGCTAAAGCAGCAGCAAACAAGCCCCTAACCTATTCTCTTCCTTCTGTAGTCTCTATAAGAAGGCTGGACTTGGCAAGGAAAAACGCCAGGTTACCTATGTTGTAGCAAAAAAAGGTGTAGGCCGGAAAGTGCGCCGGCCCGCTGGAGTTAGAGGCCATTTTAAGGTGGTGGACTCAAGAATGAAGAAGGACCAAAGAGCACAGCAGCGTAAGGAGCAAAAGAAAAAACACAGGCGGAAGTGAGCAGTGCTTACTGGACCTCTAAGAAGACTAGGGGAAGAGTTGGTATGGCCCACTCTGGCCAGCTTGCATGGGTACAGAACTCCCATGGCGGTCCAGAGCAGAGAGGAAGAAGTTCTCCTGCTTCAAGGTCTCCCATGAAAGTACTGCTGAACTGTCCTTACAGACCCTACAACCCTTCCATGAAGAATGTGGGGGTACTGGATAAAAAGTCAGAGTGAAACCATAAGGGGAAGTTCAGTGTGGGGTGGCACTCATTGTAGCCCAATCCTGGGGATATGGGGCTTAATCTTAAGCTTTCCCCCATCCTATTCTTGAATAAAACCAGGGCAGTGGAAGAAATGTCTTTTCTGATAGTTTAATAAGTGCTTCCCAACATCTGAGTGTTCAACACTGTGTTGCTATTTAGTAGAAATGACAGACAATCAATGCACAGGTCCCAGTAGTAAAACATTTACTAGAGAGCAAGCAGAAAGGAATGCACATCTTAAAGAAACCTTCACAAAATCACAAAATTCAAAGTTTGTATATATTTTCCTTTTATAAACAAGATAGAACAAAAATCATCAAAATCATTTCGGCCAAAGACTCCTACCATTGGGGCAAGTTAAAAAAAAAATACAATGAAATAGAAGACATTTAAAAAGCTGTTTGTTTTTTAATTTTAAATTCAGCAACACCTCAGACTGGAAGCAACCCTGGAATCATTTCTAGGGCCATCTTTTCCCTTCAATCACAGTGGCTCTGGGAATCTTCAAAGCTTGAGTTTGGAAGGCAGCTGCTGCTTCTGTATGTCTCAGGGCTGGATACAAACCTGGCTGAGGGACCCCAGCATCAACTCTTAGAATCAGACATCTCCCTTCCCTGTAAATGTCTGGAAACACCAATCTGCTTACCAAAAGTTCAATGGGGTTTGCAGAAGCCAACTCCTATAAAGGGGACTGCCTGGCCACACAGCTAAGAAAAGGAACTCGATTTATAGATGTTTATAAGGTGACACCTTAGTAAAAAATATAAGCTACATATAATATAAACCTAGAGTGAGTGCCCTATATGGCCCTTTCTTGCAAGGTATTAACTTACACTCATGACAACTCACCTAGAGTCAAAAGAAGCTTCCCAGCTTTCACTTCTAGGGACCAAAGCAGCTTCCCAAGAAGGAGTAGTATCTCCAAGCTCCAAATCTTCACTAAGGGCAGGGGGTCCTTATACCTTGGACCCCAACCCAGCCCTGAGACACCTAGTTACCAAAATCTTTCTAAAAATAAAATTAAAGACAACTGATTGCGCACTTTAGCACATACCCTCTAACTGTCCCATCGACTTTTCTTGCGTTTGGGTGGCTCTGGGACAGCAAAGCCATCAGCTGTCTTATCTGTTTTGCTGTCCATCTTGTCCATTTTGTCCATCTTGCTGCTATCCACCTTAGGGTCCATCTTGCTCTCACGATTACAACCTTCTCTCCTGCTTTCCCCATTCCGACCATCGTTTGCACCCCGGCTTTCCCCATGCTGGCCTGCATTTCCTCCGTGTCTGTTTTCCCCATGACGATGGGTATCAGGATGACGGCTGCTGCCTTCTGGGTAGCGGTATCCATCTCCATGGCGACCACCATCTCCATGACGTGGACTATCACCATGCCGACTGCCACTCTCTCCATGACTATGACGGCTACCACCACGGTTCTCAGTATATCGCTCTCTCTTCCCGTTGCCACCCCCAATCCCTTCTCGACTGTTGCTCCCTGAAGCTGTGTTGTTGACTCCCTGGGCTGCAGAAGGGTAGGTCACAGGGGCACTGCTGATATTCCCAGTATTGCCAAAGCCTGGGATACTCTTGGTGGTACCACTGACGGGGCTGTCAGGACTGTTGTGGCCCTGTTGTGCTGAATTAGTTGGAACAGAATTTAAGCTCCCTGCACTAGTCCATCCACTTGCTCCAGCAGCAGAGCTTCCAGCCTTCTGATTGGTTAAACTAGCTGCAACAAAGTGACTTTTGTACTGTGACTGAAAAAGAAAAAGACATGAGGGGTGACTAAGATAGCAAGGTCAAGAAACTTGAGTAAATAAGCTTGACAAATGATAAAGTATACAGAAATTCTAACAATGCTATCTTGGCACTGTGACTTCAGTGCCTTGGTGCCTCCACGGCACTACCCCTTTTGCTCTGTTCTTGGAATATGAAGGGAAGTTCAAGACTCTATGTAGAGAGATGGACCTCAATGTGCTGAAATTTACTTTTATAGCCTGACTGCCTAGACCAGGTATCCTCAAACTATGGCCTGCGGGCCACATGAGGCCTGCTGAGGACATTTATCCGGCCCGCCAGGTGTTTTTGCCGCCACTCCTGTCTTGCTTAGCAGCCAACTTATCCCGGGGCCCACAGTCTGGCCTTCCAACAGTCTGAGGGACAGTAAACTGGCCCCCTGTTTAAAAACTTTGAGGACCCCTGGCCTAGACAGTAAAGCATCAATATATACAGCCATTCCACACATCTATGATTTGCAATCTGTTACTGTTTAAAATGGAAAAGTTCTGAAAACTTAAAAAAAAAAAAAACTTTAAAGTTTGATGGCAAAACCTAACCTTGAACTAATATAAAGCTATTTAGTTTCTATTCAGCTTAGTGTCATTATTAATGTATTTTGCTACAGAAGTGAATCTGATTACATAAGATATGGCTGTAGACCTTTGGGGGTGTTAATATATGTATTAATGAAAACTGGAAAATATTGTGGAACCAAAATGATAGATGAGTCTGAAGAGAGATATAATGTGAAATTAAGGCCTAGCTAGTTAATTGGATACCAGCTAACGAAAGGTAGGTGTGGAAGAAGAAAGGTTCAGAGTTTTAAGAGATAACAGAACCACACTTGTATTAGCCAAAAAGATGGCAATCACTCTCAGCCAGAGCACAGAAGCCTTGGTGATGGGAACACCACAGGCTATGGAGATTGAGGGAACACAGTACTGCAGTTGTAGACCTGGAGTGACTCAAGCAGATGACTAGCATGAAGGGTTCTCTGGTTTTACACCTCCATCTCCAAGTAAGTTAATGTTAAGTTTTATTCAAACTCTAAGCAGTGAGAAGGCCTGAAAATCTAGTATCATGTCTACAAGTCTAGTTACCATCTCAGGAGAACTAGACTCCCCTTGTCATTGCCCAAGAGTTAACTGTCGAGAGCTCTTTTAATGAATTGCTTATCTCAGACCTGGAAAGCTGCTTTCATTGCCGTCAGCCGATCTCCCATAGCTCCTGTAGAGGGTTTGTAGGCCTCGTAATTGCTCATTACATTATTATTTCCTCGGTCCTAAAAAATGAACACATCTATGAGTATGGAAAAGTATCCTGGAAAGCCCACTACCATAGAGTGGGCCTCATTATACTGAAAATTCTGAACAAGGAGCTGCAATAGGAACTGGATATTTTTATAAAGGTACTTATGCTTTGTGAGAAAAGGTATAAAGATGAAGAATTAAAAAAAAAATGCTTATGTCCTTCCACCCAGTAATTCTATTTCTGGAAAATAACCCTAATAATCAGAAATGTGATCAGATTATCCCCAAAGTTTGTCATATATAATATTTGAACACACACAATTAAGAATAATATTAAAGATGAAAAGAAAACAAGTATGGTGGATCATATAATTGCTCAGGCTCTGAATCAAGACCATTAAGGGTCTGGATCTCAGATACCTCATTTACCAGTATAACCTCAGGTGCCTCGGTGTTATCTGTATTTACAATTCACTAGGTTGTGAAGATTAACTGAGTTAATAATGTGATTGCTTGGAATAGCCCTGGCACATATATAAAGTGCTCAGAAAATATTAGCTATCACAATTATCTATATCACTGTATTTCTCAACTTAACCATAACGCTCCAGAAGTATACTGGCAGCATTCTTCCCTGGCTTAGCAATCAAAGGGGCAATTAAGAAAGCCACTAAAGTAGGGTGCTGGCCACATACACCAAAGCTGGTAGGTTCAAACCGGAGGGTTCAGGCCGAGCTAGCTAAAACAACAATGACAACTACATAAAAAAAAAAAAAAAGAAAAAGAAAGAAAGAAAAGGGAAAAATAGCTGGGCGTTGTGGCAGGTGCCTGTGGTCCCAGCTACTTGGGAGGCTGAGGCAAGAGAATCACTGAAGCCCAGGAGGAGTTTGACGTTGCTGTGAGCTGTGACACCATGGCACTCTACCCAGGGTGACAGCTTGAGACTGTCTCAGAAAAAAAAGCCACTAAGGAGGTGCTTTTGATATCTAGCTTGAGAAAAACTAGCCTTCACCTCTCTCTGATGCTATTTCTCAAAGAGTATAGGGATAACAGGTAGATGATACACTGTGACCCTATGGCAATGTTTCCTACAGCAGGCTCTAGGCCAGTGGCAAAGGGATTGTTGGGCCCCACCTGCAGACTATCTGATTCACTTGTCTAGGGTGGGAGATGTGTTTCCATGTGCCACTGGGCTAGGGACCACAATTTATTTATTTATTTATTTATTTATTTATTTTTGAGACAGAGCCTCAAGCTATACCCCTGGGTAGAGTGCCGTGGCATCACAGCTCACAGGAACCTCCAACTCCTGGGCTCAAGCGAGTCTCTTGCCTCTGCCTC